TATATATATATATATATATATATATATATATATATATATATATGTAAAAGGTAGTTATGGTAGTTAGAAAAAATGGGAAAGAGAAGTGTAGCTGAATTTGGGACTACTATCCATATCAGGCTATAGAGAGAAACAATATGTAAATATTACTTGGTAAATAAAATTGTTTAGTTACCCAAAAAAAAAGCAATATTTACAACCTTCGATAATAATAGACAATAATACAGTTGTTTGTGAAGCAGTCCTGGATTGGGACGGAAAAAACTCAATTATGCTCGGTTGTATTCTACTATTAATGTATGACATAATTATTTTATTATACACTTTTAGTTATATATTTTTATTTTAATTTATCACTTAGCCTTTTCAAATTAATACAGTTTGAAGCGAATATCGGCTGTCAATAAACTTTTTCTTCAAGTTGACCAGAAGAGTGACATTTACCGTGGAAATGAAGAAATAAGATGGTTCTTTTTAGAGTTAGTTATATCGTGCTAAAGCATTTAATTTTGAGAATATATGCATGTATAATGTAACAATAGTTTTTTTGTGAGTTTGATGCATATTTTCTCATAATTTTATCTGTAAGCATATTTATTGTAATTAGTTGTAGGATTAATACATACATACATACACATGCAAAGTCACGTTTATTATGTATAATCTGAACCAGACAATCTATATCAAAGGAAAAAAACAAGAAAGAAGTTTTAAGTGTTTGTAATTTAGTCATAATTCCTAATATATCAAGACCTATTTTCCGTCATAAATCTGTGGTATGAATTAGTTTTGTGTGTACAACTATACACAGGTCTTTGCTGTAGCAGTGTCAACATGTTAGTGGCCGAGCAGGTCTAATGTCTTGAACTGGTTAACTTCGTATAAAATAAGCATATCCATAACATGTTATGAGCAGTTGTCCGAAGTATTTGAAATGTCAAATCAACATTAGAGTGATAATGATGATGAAGTTTCTTCAAAAATAAATTTACTAAGTTAAATGGTTTGACCTATTTTTACCTTGAGAGTTGAGAGTGATTTTGTTGAAAAGATTGACAATTTGATAATCAATCAGAAAGCATATCTAGAGAGACCAGATTAGGTCGCTAAGTTTTACCCATTATAACAATAAATATCACATTAAAATAATTGGACTTGGATTACTATACATTAAAGTCACTAAAATATTTTTATCACATTAAAGTAATTAAATAATCTAGTATTCTATAACAGTAAAATCAGCAACTTTTACTCATTATAATAATAAAATTATCTTGACGGGTAAGTTTTGTTATTATAGTGGGTAGAATTCGGTAACTTTACAATGTAAAGTTCAGTTATTTTAATGCTACAAAAATAATTCAAAACTTTACTATTGTCGTGGGTAAAATTTAGGGACTATATGTGAATTTACCCCTCAAAATGAATAGGACGTTTTTGACTTGATCTTGTCAGTCGTTATTAGCTCAAGACTCTTCCGTTTTTGTTCTTATAAATTTCTACAAACAGATTCATTTAATTATGATATGAATGTGTGCTAATACTTTATTTACACATTTTTCAATTTATGAGTGCCAACATAAGTGGATGAAAAGAAATCAGCTAATGTTTACATTTATAATATCATATTCTCACATTTCAATTAAATTTAATAAATATTCTGTAGGGGGTAGACTTGTCGTAATTAAATTACAATTACATTGTTATTTTTGTTGCCAAACACCTAAATTTCACGTTTTCTAAAACGACGTTTATCACTATTTCTAAAAGTAGACCAACCTGGCAGATAAATTAAGTTAGCCTAAATAGTTGGTTTCGGTTGGCTGAGACATCAGATGTGAAATAAGCTTGTTCATCTAAGGAAATGTCGTTTGTATAAAATTCAGAGTTCTTACCGAAACATATAATTTATCGACTTTGCAAAAGGAAAAAAAGCAAGAAACTCCCTATCTCCACTACTTTTCTTAGGTTCCTTTCTTGTTAAATTAGCAACAAACTAATCATTGATAATCTACTATATACTATTCATCAATTTTCAAAACTCATTAACAAAACGTGACATAAAACTTCCCACACACCATCTATATATATATACATATACCTTGGTCATTGTTTTACCAAATAATAGCTAACAAATAAACATGGCATTGGATCCAATTGTTACCTCAAATTCAAGCGCCAGGAGATGGACAGAACGCATAAGCAATGCCCTGAAGAAAGAAGTTGCCATTGACTTAAATCTTCTTCCTCCTGTCTGTGTTCTTCAGGTGCCCAAAACACTAAGTGACCAAAAACCAGAAGCCTATACTCCTCAACTCATTGGCATGGGACCATATCACCATTTAAGGCCAGACCTATATCAAATGGAAAGGTACAAACTTGCTGCCATTAAGGAGATTCTTGAACCAGCTCAAATCCTCAATTTCAAGCACCTCTTGATCGACAAACTGAGAGAAAATGACCTCGTTGTTCGTGCTTGTCATAACCGGTTCATGGACATAGATGAGGAGACTTTAGCTTGGATAGTAGCCATAGATGGTCTGTTCTTGCTTAACATCCTTCGTTCATCGTATGACAATGTGCATGATCATCAGGAGATTATTGACACCATTTTCACCCGAGACCTCATGATGCTCGAGAACCAAATCCCTTTTTTTGTCTTGAAGCAAATCAGAAAGTTTCTCTGTCTATCTTCCCCTGAGGATAGAGAAGATAGCGAGTTAGTTTCCATGTTTAGGCGCTTTTGTGAAATGCATTCCCCACTTGCTTTGCCTACAAATGATCACTCTAAAAAAGTTCAAGGAACTCAGCCTTTTCACTTGCTTGATCTTATGTATCGTTTAATCCTAAATGATCGTGTAGATTATGCTTCTATTCCAATGGAAATGCCAGCCATCATTATCAAACATGACAATATAAATGAAGAAGAAGATGATGGTGATCATCAAGATCGAGATACACATGGAGGCATCATTCACAACTTCGAAACAATCTTGGAGGTCGTGGAGAATATAGGTCCCAGAAACGTGCAAAAAATTGTAAAGCCCATCGACCAGGTTGTAGCAAACATGCCATGGTCCACGATTTCCGGGCTATTTAGGAAAGGTACGCAAAGAAATGAAGACAAAGAGAATGAGATGATCACCATCCCATCAGCATCCCGATTATGGCATTGTGCGAGAATCAGATGCAGCCCCATCCATGAGGGTATCAGTAGGATTAAATTTGAACAAGCTGCTTCAACTTTGTACCTTCCTGTGATCACTGTGAATGCTGGTTCAGAAGTCATACTTAGAAACTTGGTGATCTATGAAGCTGCCATGTCCAAATCCAAGCTCGAATTTGCCAGATACATCAATCTAATGAATGGGATTGCAGATACTGCTGAGAATGTGAGGTTGCTAAAGCAAAATGGTGTTATCAAAGGGGATTTGACTGATAATGAAGTTGCCTGTTTGTTCAGTACTATGCAAATGTCATTTGTGAGGTCTAGTAGAAGTTCTAATGTGGAGATTGCCATGGAGGAAGTCAACAAGTATTATGACCAGATGCTAATAGTTAGGGCTCATAGAGGGTTGAAGAAAAACATCTACCTTTCTTGGAAATTTTTGACTGCTGCTTTGTCCATTTCCGTTGTGTTGCTGCTAATTTTCCAAACATTTTGCTCTTTATATGGCTGCCACAATGTTTGGGGCAATAGAAAGTAGAATGATCTCAATAAATCGATTCCTTGTGGGATGAATTTGTGTGGAAATTCCCCTTTTATTTGGATTTCAGTTAAATACAGTGACAGTGTAAAAAATAATTATATAATCATCGTAGTATATTATAACAAGTAAGTTACCATTTTATTAGATTACCCATTAATGCTATCACAGAAATTTATATGTAAATAAACACATTACAAGTGATTTGGTTGTGTAAATATGTTTTACATCGTTAGTGCATAAAACTTAAATCTAATTGTTTTGCTTGTGTAGTTTCTTGTCAAAGAATTCTTTCCCTGCCTCTCTTTCTCTTATCTAGTTAGTTGAGCTTATTTAATACCCATTTTTTCCTTTTCTTTAGGAGATCGTTACATGCACTCCTTTTTTTAACTTTATAAACAGACAAATTTACCAATTATGCTTTAATACTATTCTTTTGTGTAACGAAAGTATAATCTCACATTTTATCTGAATCATGAATTTGATAACAGCATCCACCATTTCAACTCCTTCAAAAGATTCTTTGCACAGGTAAAAAGAAAATAAACTTAAAAATAAAAATAACAAAAATTTGAAAAATATAATAAAGAAAGACAAGTTTAAGATAGGCTAGACAAAAAGTTTCTCTTATTTAATTTGTATTTTCTTGTTCCTTTTTGTCATTATTATTTATATGATGATGTAATTTAAAGAACTTGGATGACATGAATGGGTTACAAGCATGCCTCCAATAATAAGAAACTAAAATAAAAATGAGATAGAAACTTTACATAAAAGAAATGCAGAGGGGCATGGGGTTGCTACTTACCCTAAGTCAGCAAAGCTCTATCGAAGATAATGTTTCCCTGTGGTGCTTGGGATGTTGAACCTCTGGGATCCTGGAGCTTAATTTGAGGAAGCTAATCCCAAATGATGGCACTACATTCTTTCATCAATGCCACTCACGTTTCAAATTCAGTTAAAGCTCTACTTGACAAATCCAGACATATGCGGCTATTTCAAGATATGCTTCAACCAACAGGATGTTTATATGCAGCTATTTCAAGTGCAATAATTTGAAACAACCTATCATGTTTCTGCTTTTGAAACCTTTGAGGGAAATGTAATGTTGGTCGCTTAGTTTGTCCCTAGATTCCACTGACTACTTTTCTAATGGTCTTCCTTCTTCTTTTGTCACTCTTCACTTTTCTTCTCAACCTCATTCTCAAAAAAACTTCTCTTCTCAACCTTGGCTCCTTCTAATTCCTTTCCAGTTTTAGCAAGACGACATTGCCCCTGCCATCATTTCTTGGATTTGCCTCAGAATTACCAGGAAGTGCCCCCAATGGATGGATACTGATTGTAACGGCTATCTGCCTAACCTGGCTCCAATATACAAATGGAGGCAATATGACTTTGTATCGCAGAGTATGTCTTTGCCATGTATGCCTCTGTCTTTACCATGAATGGAAACACCTCTACTACAAACTCTTTGAGGACATATTCCGAAGATGGATTCTTGTCAACTTGTGGAGATAGTGGGATACCCTTTCTTGATTTTAAAAAATAGGTGGATTTGTAGGCATCACAACATTTGAAGTGCCCTGATTTCCACTCTATGAAAAACTGAAATGATTTCTCGCCCCAGCATTATAAATTTCGGAATATGTTAATTTGGCTCCTATTGAAGTTCTTCACATAATTCACCAAATCGGGTTTACCAAGCTTACTTCCAAGTTCCAATAGTGTGTCCATCTCCACATAGTGACAAACAAGAAGACTGCATTTTCTCCTAGGTGCACCACCTGCTGTACCCTTCATTATACTCCTAGTTTGCACAACAAAACCAAAGGTTTAAAGCTATCCATGGTAAAAATCCAAAATGAGGGCATCCTCTGCAATTCCTTATGGAACATGTTTCATTCCTCAAAAATACTATTCGATGCTACTTTCCCTGAGCTGCTTGAACATACCCTTGATGTACTCATGACAAATATACTATCACCAATAGTCTCTGCAGGAACATGCTCCATTCTCAAACTTATGGAACCTATTGGCATCTCTGACTAGAAGTATTTTCTTGAAAATCTTTGACAAACCCTTGATGTACTCATGACAAATATACTATCACCAATAGTCTCTGCAGGAACATGCTCCATTCTCAAACTTATGGAACCTATTGGCATCTCTGACTAGAAGTATTTTCTTGAAAATCTTTGACAAACCCTTGATGTACTCGTGACAATCTCCACAAACTCTCAAGTTTTTAAAAACACGAATAGGCTTCCCCTCAATTTCATCCCCACCCGAAAGCAGTGCCAAACCAATTGCCAATTTCTCGCTGTGAAATCTCAGGCTCTCATCCTTCGTTTCTTCTTCAACATCGTGTAATGAAAAACTTACTTCTCGTGTGTAACCGAATTCATCTTTCATTTTCTTCTCCATCTTATACAAAAACTCATGGATAGCTTTTGTAAGTGGGTGTGTCTCATCTCTATTGTAGAAAAAGTGCATTTTCTTGTCAATCTCCACCCAACTTTGTCCTGCTTCTTTCTTTAAACCTTTTGCTTTCACCAGTCCTCTTAATCCCTCACATTCTTCCCACCGGCGGGCATCAGCAAAAATGTTTGACATCAAAACATAATTCACGGGATTATTGCCATCTAATTTCAAGAGAATCTCCCCAACTTCTCTTCCTATTTCAACATTCTTGTGCACTCTACATGCACTAAGCAGTGTCTGCCAAATGCCGACATTTGGTTTTAGCGGCATGTTCTCTATCACAACTTTAGCTTCTTTCAAGCGTCCTGCTCGACCTAGGATGTCAACCATGCAAGCATAATGCTCCACTGAAGGTTTTAAACGATTAGAATTGCATAGTTTTGAAAAGTATTCTTCACTTTCTTGAACTAGCCCTGAATGACTACAAGCTGTGAGCAGAGCTAAGTAGGAAACTTCATCAGGCTCAACATTATCCATATGCATTTTCTTGAATAATCCAACTGCTTCTAAGCCAAGACCATACTTCCCATACCCTGTAATCATAACTGTCCAGGAAATCACATTTTTATGTGGCATACCATCAAAAAGTGCTTCAGCTTCCTCTATTAAGCCACATTTGAGATACATATCAATGACTGAGTTCAATACTGATATGTCTAAACCTGCTGGTACTTTTACTGCACAGCAATGCAATTGTTTCCCAAGCTCAACAAGAGCAAAATCAGCAAAGATACCCATCATGCTTGACAGCACAAACCCATCGAATTCGATGCTACTTTCCCTGAGCTGCTTGAACAGGTCCATTGCTTCTGGTAGTTTGCCTTCTTGAGCATTTCCTACCATCAGCGTCGTCCATGATATTACACTTTTCTGTTCAAGTTGACTAAACAACTTCTGCGCTTCAAACAAGTTGCCTGATTTGACATACAAATCAATAAGCGCGCCGGCAATAACTTTCTGGCTAGAAACAAGGAATCCCCTTGTTATCAAAAAGCCATGAATTTGGCTTCCTTCACGGACTGCCTTAAAACCACTGCACGCCTTCAATGTGCTTGCAAACGTAAACTCGTCTGGCATTTCTCCTTGTTCTTGCATTTGTTTGAACAGAAACAAAGACTTATCACCAAATCCTCCAGTCGCGTACCCTGCTATCATTACATTCCAAGTTATAAGACTCCTTTCAGGCATTTCATGAAACATATTTTCAGCCTCACCAATTTTCCCACATCTTGAGTACATATCAATAATTGAATTGCCCACAACTGGATACTTTTCAAACCCACTTTTACCACACAACCCATGAATCTGTCGTCCATTCTCCAGAGCACCAATAGAACCACAAGCCTTTAAATTAGTCGATAAAGTGAATTCATTGGGTCTTACATTTGCAGAAACCATTCGAGAGAGAAGTAACAAGGATTCATGAGCATTACCCCGTTGTAAATACCCACACATCAAAGCTGTCCAAGAAACCACATTTCTTTCAAACATTTTGTCAAACACTGAGCGTGCCAATTTAATTCTGCTGCATTTCCCATACATGCCAATGAGATCATTGTTTATCATCAAATCAAATGCATAACCCATCCTCAATACAGCTCCATGAACTTGCTTTCCCACATCCAAAATCAAATTCTTAGAACAATTTCTTAGAAGTTCAGCCAACTTTTGCCTCTCCTTCATTACTACAATCGTACCTTGCTGCATATTCTTATCAGAGAGCTATAGCATTTTATTACTCAAATGACCAACAGAAACCTTCAAATCACTTACGACACTAAAAAAAATGTCTAAATATTTGTCATCTCATTGGAAACTCAGGAAATTGTCATTCCAAGTTTAGCTATTCAATGAAATAGGAATCAAATTTTTTATTGTACATTTTGCTTAGTTGACGGATACAGACTGTTCTAATTTCTTCGGCGACTTATAAATTTCGAACTTTTATTGTACTTTTCATTTAGTTGACAAATACAGACTGTTCTAATTTCTTGGGAGCACTAAGTAGCATTCACATATTGCGGTTTATAATTTGCACTCGCGTAATGTTTTATATGTTGTATTCATGATTGCGAGTTGTAAGTGGCATTCAGTTATTGCGACGTATAAGGCGTATTCACTTACTGCTATGTATAAGTCGCATTCACTGATTGGGATGTATAGGTCGCATTCGTTGATTGCGATCATGGATCGCATTAATTGATCGTGATTTTTCGCGTTGATTGCGATTAATAAGGCCATTCATGCCCAGCGTTCGCGTCGTGCGATTTATAAATCACATTCTCCTATTGCTATTTATAATTCACATTCATCTATTGCGATAGGTTGGATTCATGTATTGGGATTTATAAATCATATTTCATTTATAAGTCGCATGCATTGATTCCAATTTACAATTCGCATTCATATATAGTAATTTATAAGTTGCATTTACGAAGTCTTATTTAATACGATTTATAAGTCGTATTTGGTAATTTCGATTTTATAAGTCGCGTTTCGGTCTCGATTCACATTTCTAACTTCCGTAATAACACCGTAAATTTTCATTTCAAATTTTAACTCTTCCAGATAAAGAAGTGTAACTTAACTACTTTGATGCATATGTACTCAGTAATGCTTTATCACTTGAATTTTGTTGGACTATAATAAATATATACATTAAAGAATAACTCATTGCTCTATATAGAAAAAAAAAACTTTATTTTTGGATAAATTAAAAAGAAAACTTATAAGTAACTAATAAGGAAATATAAAATGAAAATAAAAAATAGGGTAAAAACTGAGGAATGTTTTAAGCGAACATAAATCGCACTCAACAAATGCGGCTTATAAAATGCATTCTGCATATGCGACTTATAAAATGCATTCTGCATATGCGACTTATTGCTTTGCTTGTATTATTAACGACTTCTGTCTAATTTTTTCCATTGTACTTTGTCCAATAAATGTGTTTTGTTCTAATTTTATTAGGAGCTCGTAGTCTTCCAACTTACATGACGCAAAAAGAAACTACAGTAGAACCTCTCTAAATTAATACTTGGTAAATTAATAAACTCTCTAAGATAATATTTTTCCCGGGTCCCGACTTGGGCCAGTGGAAAAAATTACCGATTTCGATAAAATAATAAGATAATATATTTTCGGAAGTCCCCTATATAAATATATGGTCCATTAATATTATAAATTAATAATTCTTTAAATTACAAAAATATCTACGACAATTTAGTGAAATATGATTATAGTATTTTTGTTTTTTCTTAAAATTTAAATCTAGTTGAAGCTCATATCTAACTTTTCTTATTGAATCCAAAAGTTTCGGTATTGTCTTCTCGAACTGCACCAAAAAATTGTGAAGAGTTCTAGATGCGATAAGTGCTTCCTTACGCGTAACTGGTTCCAAAGGTATTTATCTTCTTCAACTTCATCATCAACATTGTTTTCTCCAATGGAATGATCTCTTTTGTACTCATATAGTGCTTTACGTGTTTGATCTTTCGTTGTTGATTTTGTAACACTTTTTAGATGAGAAGCTATTGTTGGGTACAGTTTGAAGAAATTTTCTATGTTGCTTATATAGTTTATTCTCTCACGATCATACATTGAATGTTTATAGTAAAAATACAATGAATAATATTTGATTATTAAGAAACAATGAACATTACAATGATTTATTAATTACAATGAACATTACAATGATTTATTAATTACAATGAATAAACAATGAACATTACAATGAATCATTTAATTAAAAAAATATATTACAATGAATCACAAATCATACATTGTACTTTATGTATAATGAATTTATTTTTTATATTAATTCAATAAATCTGATACATAAATTAGTAAGAAGGTTAATTTTGATGTAATTGAATCTCGAAAACACTTTTAAATTAATAAATATTAATTTATCGATTAAATAATACCTCTATAAAATAATTATATTTTATGGTCCCGATAATATTAATTTAGAGACGTTCTACTGTATTTTAAAATTTTAGTAGTATGATTTAATATTTCTCCACTAGGAATTAGATTAAATTATTACACAATGTTAATCCACTAATATGATCTTCCGACTCACATGATTTAAATTTTAATATACAATGTTATATGACAAAATAGTATTACAAGGAACTTCATATTTTCTCCCGTTTTCAAATAATTAGATAATTTCTCCTATAATAATATTTTACTAGTAAATGATTTGAACAAGTAAAATTTCAATTTAAAAAAAAAAATTAAAAATTTAGTAGTAAGATCTTTAATTTGAAAAACTGTCTATAGAACATCGGGCTAACTGCAGAAACAGCATTGGTGTAAGCGAATCACACTATCATTTTCTAGTTCTGCCGTCCTCCATAATCAAGAGTCAAAGACTCAAACAACAAGACAACTAATACTAGTAATTCTTTTTTGTCTAGATTTTGTGCTGGCAACTCTGGATTTTCCGACAGCACCAAGCTCTTCGATTCTTCCTATGTATCCTTCTTCTCCGTCAATATCTCCCTTCCTTAATCTTGGAAAACGAAGAAACATTCTCAGAAACAGAAGCACAGCCCAAAAAGCTTTAACTGTTTCACAGATATATTGGTGGAGATATGCCCCGTTTATCATATGTTGAAGGTTTGGGTTTCGGGCTTCTCTTTATTGAATGAAAAGTTGTCATGCTCATTTTTTTTTTCTGCATTTGTTTTCATTTGGGTGCTAGATTTAGTGATATCTTTTTTTTTTTAAATGACAACGATGGTGTGCAGGCCAGCTTACGCGCAACTAATCTATCCACCGAGGATTAGACAGACAAATAGGAGAAAATCACATAGTATTTTTTTGCGTAGGTTGGGATTTGAACCTGAAACCTTATAGCTCTCTTCCCACTTCAACAACCAGGTTCTACTTTGATGGAAAGACAAATTAATGTTATAAAAGGGCAGCCCTGTGCATTAAGCTATCGCTATGTGCGGGATCCGGGGAAGGGCCGGACCACAAAGATCTATTGTACGCAGCCTTATCCTACATTTCTGCAAGAGGTTGTTTCCACAGCTTGACCCGTGAACTCCTAGTCACATGTCAGCAACTTTACCAGTTACGCCAAGGATGCCCTTCTAAAATTAATGTTATATTACTGTTTATTAATAAGAAGCATATCATAAAAATAGAATGCATATATTTTTAACTAAGAACCTAAGAATTACAGTGTCAGGTGCTATATAACGAATTTTTGTGTTTTCCAAATTTATATATTGCTTTCTACTTAAAAGGATTGTAGGAGTGCAGTTCAATTTAATAGACAGCATTCTTACAAGTGTCAGGTGCTAGAATGCTTATGTTTAGCTTGGCATAATATATGCACTTGCATAGTCTAGCTCTCTTCAGCTTTGATATATTAAATCTATACCGCTTCAACTTAGTTTTAGCTTGATTAAATTGTCCTTTGCGGATACAGTTATATCTCCATTACCATCAAGACGTGTGTTGCAGAACTCTGCATCTAAGCAGCCTTACTCGGGCTTGTTCTTTTTTCTTGGAAGCCTCGTTATTCTTATTATCCTGGTTGTTCTCATACTCATCCTATGCAAGTTTTTCAAACAAGGAAAACTGCGAGCTTTGATTAGTCGCACAGCTAAGCCTCCAGGTTTCACTGATGCTCTGTCGAATATATTAAATTTGTTATAGTTGTTCAGAATGAAATAGTACTAAAGCCTTTTTTTCAAATGTTACAGGCACGAGTGATGCCCTTAGTGTACATCTTCGTACAATAAGCTACTTTAACTTCCATACGTTGAAGAAGGCCACGAAGAATTTTCATTCAAATAACCTACTTGGAAGTGGTGGATTTGGTCCAGTTTACTTGGTATTAGTTTTCTGCAGCCTTTTTTTTTTTTTTTTTTTTGTGTTAATGCTGATTACACTGTTTCTTACATGGATAAAGTTATAATTATGTATGAACTATCCTTTAGTCCCTTGGCTCTGTTATGAGATCTTGAGATATGAGACAGCATCTAAGGTTAATGTGTCTAAACACTTTTAAAAATGAGTCTAGAATCCCTTTTTTAATGCAGACTATACTGTATACATGATACTCTAAACAAGGTTTTGTTTTCCTTAGGGGAAGCTAGGAGATGGACAGTTGATTGCTGTCAAGAAGCTGTCTGTTGACAAATCACAGCAAGGGGAACGGGAGTTCCTTGCAGAGGTGCGACTGATAACAAGCATACAACACAAGAATTTGGTCCGCCTTCTCGGCTGTTGCTCAGATGGGGCTCAGAGGCTGCTCGTGTATGAATATATGAAGAATAGGAGCTTGGACCAAATATTATATGGTATTATATTTCTCTTTCCTATCGGACTTGTTATAAGTTCTTGCTTCTTGAGTTCTGAACTCGGATAGCTATAAGAATGAAAGGAGCCAAACGGATTGAGAAGTAGTGAATATAAGACATCAGAATGTCATTTTCTTTGCACCTTTATGCATCTGTATCACTCTTGAAACCCATATGTTCGTACCCTTGAATGATATCGTCATATTATATTCATTGTTGTGCTGCTTCTCATGGAGTATCATTACATCTTATTTGGGTTCAAGATTGAATGATAGATTGTAGACCCTTGCTTTCATTTATGAAAAAGTGAGTTCTGTGTGCTTTGACCTGAAAAGTTTTCACTACTTGGTTACCCAAGGTTTTAGAGCCGAATCTTTTTTGCTAGTTGTCTCCTACACTTTTGAGGACAAATTACAGTAGCTTGCAATTTCTTTTTCTTTATTCCACGACTTTTAATACTTCAACTTTGTGACACAAATTGTATATCTCTCGATAGTGGGTACCATGACTTGTAGTTCTCTTCCCCTCCCCCTAAAAGAAAGAAAACAAGAAGAAGAAATAGGAACTGGGGACTCAGCATTTCCGTCTGCTATAATTTCCATGAGACAGACAAAAACTACTGGTATAACATCCCCAGGGTTATGAATAGCTGCATGTACTTCTAGAATGTTCTTAATTTCTGAGTCTCTGGTCTAGCCTGGATTTCGGTTGTCATGTTTGCTTTTCACAGGAAAGAGTAATATATTCCTTA